AGTAACCATCTTTGCTAATTCTTCACGATCTTTATTAGGATCGTAATATAAAATACCACCGGTCACAGTGTTAATTCCTGGTTGAACTAGATTTGAACCTGTACTAGGGTTAACCGCAGTATCTACACTTGTCCCCTCTTGCTGCGCTTTCATTTGTAAATATTTAACTTTATCTCTAGGGTGTGTTTGTATGTGCCTAGCCAAACTACCCGTACCACTACGGTCTCCAGTATATTTATGCGCCAGCAATTTCCCACAAGTTTTACACCTAGCCTTATTTTGTTCTCTTACTTGAGTAAAAAAATTCCAAACTAATGATGTTTCTAGGTGTTTAGAAGGTTGTCTATTAAAAATAGGGGTTTCTACAGGTGGGTCGGGCGGGGCATCAGTTGGGTTATTAACAGGACTAGTAGGTGAATCATCTAAATCCGGTTGGGTTTCATCTACATCCTCATTTTCCTCATCATTTTCTAAGATAGTTTGATTAGGATAAAGAGCATTCATAACTTCTTCATTTAATTGTTCACCTTGTGCAACATTATGGCAAAATTCACTATCGGAAAATTGAAAACAAGGGTTATCACTATCAAGAATAATAGGAGCAGCAGGACGGGTAATAGGTCTGGGTCGGGGAGCCGGGGGAAGGGTAGTAGGTTGGAGACTACTTTCACCAATTTTAGCTTTTCCCTTACCACCAAACATTTTTTTCAAAGAAAATGCCATATTAATTACAATTATGCAAACTAAACACACAAAAATATATTCTTAAAAGTTAAGAGTTGGAACGAGTTTACTGAATTGCCGAACAACTTCTTGAAAATTGAAAATCGTTGAAGACTTGAAGACTTGAATACTTCAATTCACCAACTTCACAATTTTTCACGAAATTGCAATAATAAAATAAGCAATTATAGAAGAGAAATTAGATATAGATTGAGAGAGATTGAGAGAGATTGAGATAGATTGATGAATTGGTGAGTAAAAATGAAAGAATGAGGGGGTATTTATAGTTGAAAATTGGGGAAAAGTGTAATTATATAAAGTTTGGGGTTAAAATAAAGTTTGGGGGCCAAATGGCTATTTTTTAAAATTCCAAACGGTTGAAAATTAAAGGCCAACGGCTAGATTTTAAAATCTGACCGTTGGCTATTTTTTAAAAAAAAAAACTTTTTTTTTTTTAAAAATTAGCCGTTGGAGCCCGTTAGGACCGCTAGGCCCGGTTGAACCGGCCCAGGACCGCCTGCCGGTCCCGGGCTTAGCGGTCCCGGTCTCGTGGGCTACACGAGCAAGACCGGCCCGTCACGGGCTTCTTACCCATTAAGGGACCGGCCCACCAGGACCGGCCCGCCGGGACCGTTTAGCCCGTTAGGACCGCGGGCCCGGTCCGGTCCCGGTCCCAGACCGGCCCACATACAGCCTTAATTGAAAGAAAATACCATTTTCACAACCATTACAATTACTTTTTTAGCCTAAGTATTTTGATACATTTGAGCGCATAATTGTACATGCTAAAATATACTGAAATCGAGGACATGATTCTAGCAACAAATATTACAACTAAACATACTAAAATAACAAGAAACGTAAAACTCAGAGAAATCACATAGAAATTTGATTTTCCCTTGTCCAACACGTGTTACATAGCCTCATAAAATTTGGCTCATCCTATTTCTGGCCATTACAATAACAAATTTACAGCTTGAATTGGAGCCAAAATTTCCAAATTAGAATTCGGATAATCTCATCCGCAGCCACTTCACACCTTTTTCCAATTTTTTTCAAATCTCCACGTCATCGATCCACGACACTACCTTAAAACGAATAACAGATACCCACGTGTACTTCTAAAGCAGTAACCTGTACACATTTCCTACTTTTCACGCATCCTCTATCAACCGTCGATCTCATTTTCAAGTACTTCGCCAATCAACGGTTCTAATCATTCCAGCTCATCAATCCACGCCACTCTCTATTCTCCAATTAAAACAAACATCAACAATGTATAAATACCAAACGCTCATTTCTCATTTTCAACATCGCATTACATTTTGCTTCTGTACAACAAATCTCTATACTTTACAGTTTACTCTCCCTCTTTAGAATTTTCAATGGCTCCCAAGGCAGAGAAGAAGCCCGCCGAGAAGAAGCCGGCTGAGGAGAAGGCTCCGGCAGAGAAGAAGCCAAAGGCCGGGAAGAAGCTGCCAGCGAAGGAAGGCGCAAGTGGTGCAGACAAGAAGAAAAAGAAGGCTAAAAAGAGTGTTGAAACCTACAAGATCTACATCTTTAAGGTGCTCAAGCAAGTTCATCCAGATATCGGGATCTCAAGCAAGGCTATGGGGATCATGAACAGTTTTATCAACGATATTTTTGAGAAATTGGCTCAGGAATCTTCTAGACTTGCGAGGTATAATAAGAAGCCGACTATTACTTCCAGGGAAATTCAGACCGCGGTCAGATTGGTGCTACCCGGTGAATTGGCTAAGCATGCTGTTTCTGAAGGAACCAAGGCTGTGACTAAGTTTACTAGTTCTTAAGTTAATAGGTTATGTCGGAAAATTTGGCAATTTAGGGTTGTTTGGGGAATTAGGCTTAGGGTTATCTGGGAAATTTGGGAAACTAGTTTTCCTTCTTTCTTTTGATTTCTGATTTTCGATATTGTAACTAAACTCACTGTTGCTAAGTGAATGAACAAATCTACATTTTGGATATTGCTTGTTACATCCTTGCTAATTATTGGCTGTCAATTGAAATGGAGTTCTAAATCATTTGTTATTGGCGTTATCTTTGTTAATTCAAAAATGATATCAGCATTGTTGTATTTTGGTTAAGATATCTGGTATTGTATATACCACACAAGATATCTTAAGTAGCACTAGATAATTGTATTTTGTTCGTCTCTAGGGAAGGTCTAAGAGAAAATTACTTTGAGGTTGCTGGAATGACAAGAGAACTGTGTTAACATATACAATAAAAGTTAGTCATGAACTTTTGGATTGTTGAGGTTCTATTGTAGTGATCTTTGTAGATGGTTATATGATTATTAAGGTTGATATTGATGGTGGAGGCTTTTTGTTTCTTGTTGAATCTGAAACTGAATGCTTCTAATAATTATGAATAACTATGAAAGCTATGTGTTTGTAATTTCTCTAGATATTAGGGGATTTGATAGTGGACAGAGATTGTCTAATAGATGAAATCCTATTCTGAAATTGTTTCATGAACTTGTTAGGTAGTGTTACAATTATGCACTGCAGGTTCGACCTTTCCCGGAGCATACCTAATGAATGAACCTTGTCATGCTGGAACTACCCTGCTATATTTGTATGCTTTATTCGCTGTCCTAATGAATGAACCTTGTCATGCTGGAACTACCCCGCTATATTTGTATGCTTTATTCGCTGTTAACTGTTTGTACATTACCTTTTCTTCTCTATGTTCTAGTCTTTTATGCATCAAGGCTAAATGATAGAAATCCTTTCACTCATGATTCATATAGTAGTTCATTTCTTTTGTACTTGGGCTGTGATCTGGATTCTTTGTGCGGTTTTATTTCATTGAATAGATGTGTCGCGGTTAAGTTCAGCAACTTCAGCCTTGTTCTTTCTGCTCAAGGAAAAGGCAAAAGTACTGTTCGGTAGTCAGTGTAAGCCTTTGATACTTTAATTCACTTTTACGATATTGTAGGATATAGGAACCAGCAAGTGTCTAGGTTGAGACTGGTTTGAATATTCATTTGTTGCTTTGTGGTATCTAGTGATGCTGCTTTATCACATTGTCATCGGTACACCCTTTTGATTAGGTTCTGTTGAATTGATATATTATGTAATGGCAGTGTGGTGGTTGATTTTTTCTCTGCAAATTCTACCTAAGTTGTCTTTCTTAGAACCCACACATGTACTTGCTCAATAGTAAATGCGAATAAAAGTGCAAAAACAAGGCAATAACCAATAAGTCTAGGCGTCTGGCCTGTTAATCTAGTTCTTGTTTGGATTTTTTCTTGTTAAGTTTATATTTTCGGGGAGTTTGCAGTTCTTGAATACATAAAATAAACCTTAATGCTGGCGCATGTCCTTTTTTTGGTTTTCCATATATTCATTTGATTATCACTTGTTTTATAATGCTTATGTCGCCCCCCCTTTTCTGTTTCTTCTTCTTTTCTCTGAGAGAGACGTAGCTTGTTCTGTTCGCTTTTATTGACCGTCTTGCTATAATTTCTTTAGGAATGAGGACCTAATGAAATGATTTTGTCAATTATATCTGTAATCTATATATGACATCTCCTGTAGTTTTGTTGCAAATGAGCAGCATACAGATGAAAGATCCAACAAAAAAGAAGTTGATTTTTGCCAATGGGCTGAGCTCTGTAAGTCTTGTTATTGTATAGATCAGAGGAAACAGCTGCTAATGCTATTCTAGATGCAATATCTAACAGTACAGTATGGCTTTATGTTTCTTGGGTGCTCCTATTTATGTTCCATATACTGCAGTTGCATCCTCATGGTCTTCCTTTGACACTTGGTGAGTGAAATGCTAATTAACTGCTTTGAGGAACTTCTGTCTTTACTCCAAATTGAAATAAAATGTTGACCTGAGAATATGAGTTACTTGATCCTTGCTTTTGACCTCTGTTCAAAGGTCGGCGAGTCTCTTTAATTCTTTGGAACATAGGAAGCATCAACTTTCAAGTTTGAGCAACTTTGGAGGAAATTTTTCGGAAAAAATTAACTTCTTTTTTTCCTTTCCTTCAACGTAGTTAGGAAGTGTTTGTTATCTGAATAGGTTAACAACTTTTGCATGGTTATCTTGGACTCTACTTTTGAAGTTCATTGATAATATCATTAACAACAAAGCAATGTAACAACATATCGGATCTTGGCTAAATCTTTGACTATTTTGGAGATGAGTGTTTCATTCTTAGGACTCCAATTGTTTAAGTAACGCCATAGGACTCCAATTGTTTAAGTAACGCCACCCCGTCTTTTATATCAGTTTTAATGGCATGATTGAAACATATGTAGGATTCAGTGGTTTGTGTTTCTTTCTCATACATTTGCTGGGGTTTTCAGGTTTATGGTGACCCACGGAGAAGGGAGTGGACGACTTGATCTCACAAGTCACAAGACCTCGCTCGACAACTGGCACAACCTTACTTGGTAATCCTTAAGTTGCAACAATCATGTTTATAGTAATCTCACAAGTCACAAGACCTCGCTCGACAACTGGCACAACCTTACTTGGTAATCCTTAAGTTGCAACAATCATGTTTATAGTAATCTCACAAGTCACAAGACCTCGCTCGACAACTGGCACAACCTTACTTGGTAATCCTTAAGTTGCAACAATCATGTTTATAGTATGTTTTTCTTTACTGTGAAGCTTTTGTTGCTCCGAAGGGCTTGCCGAGTTCCCAGTAGATGTCTGAGGAGCGAGGAGGGAGAACATACTTGCTGGTTTACGTGGAAAAAGACATCTCAACTAGATCCTCTTGCCTTTAGTATTAGCAGGTCCTAAATGTGTCCTGCATACATGATTGGAAGTTGGAACCTTAGGCTTGTGAGAATTTGATGAAAGGGAGTATTGAATTTGTCCTCAAAATGGGGCAAATTGATGTAATATCTATATGTGTCTAGTATGTAATGGTTCTCTATTTGAATTCACGTTTCCATGATTATACGTGTGTGAGGAGATTAAAAAAAATTGCCAAGGATTTCTTAGTTAGGCAGTGGATTTTGGCGTTTGAGTTTGCTGTAGCAAAACATTAATATAAAATAAAAATTGGTTAAAGAACACAACATCAAGGGGTCCATAGCTCAGTGGTAGAACATTTGACTGCAGATCAAGAGGTCACCGGTTCGAACCCGGTTGGGCCCTTTAATTTTTTTCATTTCGTCCCTCTTATCACATAGGCAATTTTTATGTTTGAACAAACACATCTATCATGTTCATAAAAGAATTACGATCGACGAGGATTTGAGAAAAGAAAGAAATGGGATGCTTGCATCAACTCATATTGTGTGAGCGATCATTCAGAACACCATAAAGCAAAAGCATAATGCATATAAATTTTCTATAGTATAAATATCAATAGAGAAAAAAAGATAAATATTTATTCCTCCAGCACTTTTCCTCATTAGTTTTCTTTTGGGAGGGCGAGGGTCAAAATACATTATTCAGTAATAAAATCTGGTCAAAAATCATTATAGTAAGGAAAGCTAAAAACAGCCTTCTCTATAGATGGCGTCGCCCGGACTTGAACCGGAGACCTTCAGTGTGTTAGACTGACGTAATAACCAACTACACCACGACACCTTTGTTCTTTTAGACCTCTAAATATATTATATTACCGGTACCTGGTTTGAACTGAACCAGACCGCGTAAAAAGAGTAGTTAAAATTTCGCCTGGAGTAAAAGAGTGGCCTTTTGTTCTCTTACCTCAAACCCTAACCTTTCCTCTTTCTCCTTCAATTTCTACTTTCTCTTTCCCAATACAGACAGACAGAGACAAAAAATACATAAAATTACAAAATGGCAGAGGCAGCTTTGAACATGAGTTTAGACGATCTCATCAAGAAGAATAAAACCGGTACCGGAGGTAAACCTCGCGGCAGAGGTCGTGGCGGCGCCTCCGGTCCTGGTCCTGCTCGTCGATTCCCCAATCGTTCAGCTAACCGAGCTGCACCTTATTCCACCGCCAAGGTCGAATTTTTTTAAGATCTAATTGAAATTTTTTGGTTTTCCGGTTCCATCTGTGTCTCTTCCTTCAAATTTCTCGTCTCCATAGAGAAATATTTTTACGGATTTTGAATCTTCTTCGTTCGTGTGGATAAATTATTGTAATCTGATGGAAAGTTGGTGGCGGTTCAGGCTCCTGAGGCGGCGTGGAATCATGATATGTTCGCGGCGGCAGATCAAGCTTTCCCCTTTGGACAAGCCGGTGGTGGTCAGGCGGCGTCTTCCATATCGACTGGGACAAAGCTCTACATCTCCAATCTAGATTACGGCGTCTCAAATGAGGATATCAAGGTAGCTTTCCCCCCCCTCTCTAGATCGTTTTTGTTCTTTTATTATGTTCTTTCTTTGGAGATTTGTTGGGATGAGTATTTTGGGATTGATGCATACTAGTTAATTTTCATGTCCTTTATGTGGGTTCTTTTGATTTTTAACTTGCACAGTTAAATATCTCTCGAGCTTTAGTCAAAGGTTTGACCTTTCGTTTGCAACTGTTTGCTTGTATTCATTATTTATGATGCAATTATCCTTGGGAGAATAGTAACATAAGAAAAAGGGAGATGACATGATATTGTTGTTAATCGAGCGAGGAGGTAAATAAGCAAAAAAAAAAAAAGGTAAAAAGGAGCACTACATGTTTAAGTAAAAAAAGAGATCATGAAACTACTGGAGATGTAGCCGAGGATAGAGTTGCCTGTTAGGCTTTGACTAGGTTAAGAAAGTCATTGAATTGAAAGTGGACATGCTCTCACATGCTAGATTGAGCTGTCTTTATTTTGCTAACTCTTCTGCCTTAACGATGCTTGTTTCCAATGGAATTTGGAGTTTGTGCTTAGATCGGTTTATGCAAAAAAGATTAATAATTTTTGGAAGTAGTGTTTGCAATCTCTTTGGAGGTTTATTGATTGGCCACCAATTTTAGCTTGTAAAGATGTATGTGTTGAATTGCAGGAGCTCTTCTCAGAAGCCGGTGACCTGAAACGCTATGCTATACATTATGATAGGAGCGGGAGATCAAAGGTATTTTATAACCTAGACTATGCACTTTAAAGGAAAACAATGTGGTTCGGCTGAGATTAATGGAACTGCTTCTTCAGGGAACAGCAGAGGTGGTCTTCTCGCGTAGACAAGATGCACTAGCTGCCGTTAAGAGGTACAACAACGTTCAGCTTGATGGGAAGCCAATGAAGATTGAAATTGTTGGGGCCAACATTGCCACTCCCGCTGCCCCTGCTTTCAATGGTGCTTTTGGTTTTGGAGACGCTAATGGAGGTCCCAGAAGGTATGATCTGTTTCACCAGGACGTTGTTAAATTGGTTTAGTTTTTTCTCTGAGCTTTTCTATTCAGCTCTCTGATGATAAATAAAAATAGGCTTTGATAAGATTGAAACTCTAAGTGAGTGCTGGTTGCTTCATGTGTGGAAATTCCTTTTATGCACTTGCGGGCCTCTACTCCCACTCCTTAGAAAGGTCATGGAAGAAGTGTATATATTTGATTGTGGAGCACAATTTTGTTCCTTTTTTCTGGGTGCTACTTCTAGCATCAAGTTTTAAAACGGTTGGACAAGACTGGTAATTGTAGTTCAGTGGTAGAAGAAATCCCTGTATATATGAACAAAGTGGAGAAATTAGCTAGTTTTGTCTGAGTCAACTTCAGTTGAAGCGAAACAAGACATGAATTAGGGAAAAATGATAAATGGGAGGTCGGTGTTAGACACTTAATTTGGAGTTAATCTTGTGGGTAGGTCATACAGAGGTATCTTATCGAAACAACTATCATGCAAAGTTATCAGGGAATGTAAGCTTTGTTTGGCTGCAGGAAAGGAGAAAATTGAGTATAAAGTGGGAGTTAGTAAGCTTTTTTAGAAACCTTTCAAGGTTTAGACAAGAGTATGAACAGTTATTTCGAGGTGAAAGTTTATGGGCCCAAGAGAATACATTGTCTCATTATGTCTTTCATATATCTTGTATAGCAGGCATGCTGTCTTTCTTTTCTTTCCCTTCGCTTCTCGTTTTTTTTTACATTATGGACATTCAATAAATTAATTCAAGAAGATTTGCGTTTAACGACACACGTAGTTTTGAGGGCATGAAGTAGATTTTGATTACTTAATATAGGAACTGAACTAATGGAGAATCATTTCGTACTCATTGGGATTTCTATCATAAATATCAAGATCTTTTTCTTTAAAACTCATACTAAGACCTTTTCTTTTAGTTCATTGCTCGATTAACTTCCGTGTTAGCTTCGACTGTCTTTAGTATATTGAGTATTGGAAGTATTCTTTTTTCAATTGGATGTCCCCATAAGGGACAGTCTTGAAAGTATTTGATAGGTGTTTAAATTGGTAAGTCCTTTTCTTTTTGTTATTAGCACAATCAACAAATTAGATGTTCGGCCCCTTGAAGCGTGACCTTGTATTGAGTACCTTGCCTTTCCCGAGGAATGTTAAAGTACATAATTGTTTATTTGACGAAAGTTATTAGCCAAACAAAGTCATCATGCAACGTGGAAGATGGTGAAGACTCGAAATTGTTGCACTTGAGAGCATTATCTCCTTGAAGTGAGGTTTTAAAAGATCTATTTGAATTAGTGTTGGAGGCTTACTATACTGATGGGCCAATGTGATGGCTTTGGTTTGGAAAACTGAAGAGTTCCCCTCTGGTTTAGACCCCACCCACTGTCCTTGCTTGATTAAATGAATCATATGCTTACAACTATTAGTACTTACTCAGCTGATGGGATGATCAGATGACAGCTATTGTAAGTGAATTTAGCTTCAATGAAGGAAAATTTTTCCTGAATAACTTGATCTCTGGTTTTAGTATTGTTTGTTTTAAATCTGTAATGGAGTTTTTCATTTTGGTTTCTTTCTCTCTTTTGATGCTGTTTAATGTAGTTGTATTAATAATTGGATAATGAAGATATGGAATTAGTTTCTATTCAATGCATTCTAATCATAATTCATGTGTGGTAAAACAGTGGTCAAGCAAGAGGTGGTGGCTTCGGGAGGTCACGGGGTGGTAGAGGACGCGGTCGCGGATTTCGAGGAGGCAGCAGAGGACGTGGAAGAGGAGATCGTGGAGAAAAGGTATCTGCAGAAGATCTAGATGCTGATCTGATGAAGTATCATTCAGAAGCAATGCAGACAAACTGATGGGTCCGGTAGCAATGTTTGCCTCTACATCCAGTGCCTAGTGGAGCCAGACTTTCTGTACTTCAGTGTTCTTCTCTTTTCAAGTTGCAAGAAAGAAAGTACTTATAGGAAGATTTGAACATTTGCTGTATGGGAATTGAGCTTCTTCTTTATTTGTTCCCTTGATTTGGATTTTTGCTTGGGTGGAGTGATTTGTGTGTTCTACCAACTCTTTAGTTTATTTAAGAGGTGGACGATTAGAGTGGAAATGCTTATCCTTGCCCATCCCACGACAAAGCTTTGCCTCGACGGTGGCGCCAGCTGAAGGTGGTGGCTGCCCTGTGTCCTGAAGTCCTGCAAGTGCTTCTTGTAGTCAATTATTTGGGCGTCAATCGTGAGGTAGTTTTTGTCACTTTGTTCTTGTCCACTGGTTTCACAATTGCAGTCCTTGTGCACTTGGCAGTTTTGCTGTAAGTGTCGACTTAATTTTATCCTTGTTGATAATGAGTTCTACAAACTGTTGACTTAGGAAGCACGTAAGTGGGATCAATTTTGGGTGACTAAAGCTGCCTCCCCTGATGATTTTTTCTTACTTATTGCAAATATATATTTCTACCTTTTATAACATGTTTATAACGAGCTTGAAAAACTGTTGCATTAGGAACAGGTAGGTCGGAACATACTTGGGTGACTAAGCTGAATCCTTTGAATGATTATGTCTTATTGCAAATACATGGGATGAGTAAGCTGAATGATGGTGTTCTCGGGGCTACAGACTGCTCATCTTGTGGATGATATGTTGATGTCGCAGGAGAAAGAGGCTCTGTCCTCTTTCTGTGAACACGATGTTTAAGTGAGGTGGCGGACTTGCTGCATTTCTACAGCATTATGGAGCTTATGCCCCGTACTGTAGAATTGCTCAAGTTTGCTGTCTTTGCATCTCGGTTATGTGCATTTAGATCTTTTATGTGCTTCCCATAAGTGCTTCTCTTGCAATCTCTTCAAGTCTGGAGCATCATCCGGCATTTCAAATTGATTAGGCTGTTGGTAATTGAAATTCAACGATTAACTTGGATCATTGAGATGAATATGCATTCTGCCATGTCCTGATTCAAAAATCAAATTTTCTTGGTTTCTTCTCACTGTTATGATCTTGCTCGGAGTTGCAACTAGATCCTGCACAGACAATGTATATTAGCCGCCCTCTAGCTATGCTGATTATCTGCTGGGTGATGTGTCAACTAGTACTTCCTTGTGAATGGCTGTGGTGCTAAAGAGGGCATATTGACTCCCTTAAAAAGCCTGAAATATATCTTGTGATATGAATGGTGGCTGATCGTCATCAATGGATCTCTTGTAAAGAATGTTTGTAGCTCGAACGACCATATTTCTGCTTTGTTTTTGATAGCCTTTTATCGAAGGTGTTTGCAGCGTGTCCAAACAACAATCTGGAACAGAGTTAAGGAACAATGAAGTTTCTTTCTTTCTGTTTGTAGGTGCGGGTCCTGTCCATATTTGGGAAGGTAGTAGTTTACGGGTACTTTTATCTTTCTTGCGATTGTATTTTATAGGTGCTTTCGTGTGCATTCTTTCGGTGGGGATTACCTTCACCTTCGGCCGAGTAAAAAACTTCACAGTATGTAACGTTCGCAGTATTTGGCAATGGGCTTGTAGTGAATCTATATGATGATTTTTCTGCCAGTCTACACCTAGTAATACCATCGGCGCTGCATCCACTTCTGATCCTTTACTAAGAAAATCAGTGCAATTTTATGCCTGTTGAAATATTGAGTCTTGCCTGGAATTTTTCTCTTTTTCTTTACCTGATTCCTTTAAAAGAACAAGGCACAATGTGCGAGTTAGTGCACTTCCAATGCTGCAATATATGAGAGGTGCTGAGCGTTCAGTTTTGGAAACGGCAGAATCCTCTTACAATTCCAAAACTAACCAAGAAACAAAAGACTCACTTGTGAAACGTAATATTTTGGATCATCTTATTGACGTATGTAGCGATGTAGGTCATTTTTTTCTCTTGGGCTTTCATCTCAAGTTATTCATCCAAATTTAATAAGAGACAAATATTCTGCCGTTTACTGTGCACGTATGAGTTGAGCCAGCTAAGCTGGAAACAAACCAGTATTGCAAGGAAGTAACATAGTCACTACAGTAGGGAAATAGAGAATAATCATGACTACCGTAAATTTACACCATCGCCACCGTTGAAAACAATAATCCTCCAACCGTCCTAATTACATGCAGGAAAAAAGCTTTGATACATCAATGACCTAATTTCGGGCTAAAACATACAACACAACACTACTCCACACCAGCTAGATGTAGAACAATTGGTGCGACATCATTGCTCCTTTGGTCTCTTCACTTTATCCCAACTTGAAAATATTAACCTCAAAAGAGAATAAAATATAGCCAGTATGCACGACTTTATAAAATTCCAAAATGAAGAAGGCCAATACCAAGGATATAGCAATCGGAAAAAGAGACTTATGATATGTCGAGGGTATCGTCCAACCTGAAACAACACATTAACGCATGTTGTTAAGAAAACATAACATGACCAAAAATAGGAACATTGGGAAAAATCTTCCCAATGTTTTCTAACCGCTATCATATGCTTCCATGTCAAAATGAATTTCATTCAACATTTACCAAGGCACTGGCAAATAATTGAAACAACTTTTCTAACTAGTCATCTTTTTCATGCCATCCGCTTATAAAATATCACCAGGGTCAACCACAGAGTATGTTTATCTACTTCTACTCTGGACTTCACCAACGGAACTCAAAAAAAAAAAAAAAAAAAAAAAAAAAAAGAGAAGAAGAAAGAATGCTACACCAAGGATTTGAACGGGTAACTAACAGTAATTTTTGAACTACCTTCAGCACTACACTAGAATCACCCCTCATGTCAAGAGGATCCAACAATTTATATATATATGCAAAAAAATTGTCGTTGACCTCTTTGCACAGTGTAGGACTCAATTGAATACCCTAGTGTCCTAGCTCCGCCCCTGTTCATTAGTGTTCTGTAATTCTTTATCTACTTGTTAGGTGCATTGTGCATCAGGCTACTTTGCCACACACCAAGAATGTTTTGATAAATACATACATCTTTATTAATCCATAAAATGTCTGAAAGAAATATACTTCATCGAATATTGGTTTGAAATGATATCAAATCATAAGTCTATTCCAATAATAGAAAGATTACTCACAGGATATAGCAAATCTAATGCATCCCATGCTGCATGGCGAACAGCTCTTGTTGGGTACATGGGAGCACCTGGCGACGTGAAACTATACAAGCAAGTTTTCAATCTTGTACTGGTAGCCATTCTCAACTCTAATCCTGCAGAGATCTCACTGTAATGTAACTCCATACATTTTGGAAAATCCGCAATATTGCAGACATTCAAATTAGCTAGAACTAGCTTTACCTTGAAGGACTTTCAATTGGGAGAGGTAATGCAACAATACTGGCTCCACTTTTAGTTTTTGAAGCTGAAACCAGAAGTGTAAATGAGAAGATACACAGGGAAAATGAAGGAAAAGACTCTGGGGATGTTGAAGATCCTGTTCTCTTACCTGATCAGCTAGTTCAGTTACAAATATATCTGCTGGACCACCAATCAAGAAAGCATTTGGAAAATCAGGAAACTGCCTTAAAAAACTTCCTAGCCTGTCAGCTGCAAATAGATTCAACATAAGCATGTAATCTCAACCTTGTATGCAAGGTTACAGCTAAGATCAGCTTACCTTGGTTATATAAGAATATGAACCTTGAAAGGAGGAGAAATAAATCTCTTTGGGCCTAACAAGATGAAGACAGCGAATGATGTTAGGACACACCCACTAAAATTAGACTTGCTTTGGCACACAGGTAAATCAGAAGGGGCAGACATCAGACCTGCAACGGGATCTTCTTTAATCGATCCGGAACAAGGGCAACTTCCTCAAGCAGATACTGTAACACACATCCATATAATCAATTGTCACCATTTACTTCCATCGATCTAAAAGCAACAAAAGAAAGCACCAGTGCTACACTTCACTCCAACTACTTTCAAAAATAAAATCAATTCAGGGGTATTTGACCTGAAAAAGACTCTGGAAACGCCGTGTGTTTGTTTGGATGTCGATCCTGCAAAAGGATATGTCAGCCAATTACTTAACACACTTTACTATAACCCCCACACCCCGTTCGCAACCTGTTCTTCTTCACTTATGCACTGTGAAGCACATAAAAGAAAGAGCAATAACTACATAATTTCTAAAAAGAAAACCTCTGTCTGACACAACGATACAGTTCGCAGAAATATTAAGCAGTCTATTTTATGAGCATCAACAGAGTAAATCTCTGAGTGGTGTATATATATTAACATAGATATGAAGAACACAAGAAGGTAAAGAGAGTTGATGATAATGATGTAAAAGCTAAAGTTGACCCAACATGATCATGTATACCAGTCAGGCAAGAGAAAATGTATGCAAACATATCAATGTCTCTATATTAATCAAGGAAACTCGGGCAGGTTGCATAAGGGGAAAGCTTTTACTGAGTTCATAAAGCAACAGGGCCTCAAGATTGTTGCATAAAGGAAAGACCCTGTATAGTGAACTTAATCACATTTGACCCTTGATATATCTAGGATATAAAGAGTTGTGCCCTTGAAGCAGTAGCAAGGTCAGCACTAAAATGTGTTATAAAACGCACACACAGTTAACTTCCTGAGTTTCTAATTTAATAGAAGCCTCAAATGAGAAGTGACATTGGCGATCAACGAAATCTTAAAATAAAAGCAAAACTCATACCAGAATACATTTGTAGCTCCTTGAACAAGAGCTGATGAGTAGCGGAGGAGGACTTCAGAATTTTCCAGTTGAACCTCAAACAACTGCAAAGTAGAAGAATATGTAAAAGAGTAGGTTCATTACCATTGCATGAATAAAAAACACACTCTCCTCTCCTTCCCCCCTCCCCCTTCCTGCTTTTCTTCCTGGTGAGGTCTTTTTTTTGTGGAGTTGAGGGTGGGAAGGACGAGGCGACATTGTATGAACATCTTGATAAAATTTACAGATCACACCATCAGATACGGCTTTTATTATTGGATATGCCTACAGAGTTGCAGATTGAAGAGATTCTAGGGTACGCATAGATATCCCCTGTCAGTTTTAAAGGGAAATGAGTGAAATTACTGCATTCGGAAAGTCAATTCGGAGAGTAAAACCTCTATTGGCCCGTTTGTTCACAGAAAAGAATGAGCGAAAACAAGCACAACCCAAAATATTGTGAGAGACACGCGATACATACATAAGTCCAGCAGAGCAAGATTTTAAGGCTCACCATAAGTTGGATAAAAGGAAAAAGAAAAATAAAACGATAAGGGGGGTTTGAAAAGAATTAAAAAAGAATATCAACACCAGTGCCATATTTCATTCTTAACCTGTGGCCCTGGAAGGCATCTTTCATTCCTTGAAATGGGGGTTCTCATTCTACCGCTACATAAAGAGTACAACAACAACAACAACAACCCAGTGTAATCCCACAAGTGTGATCTGGGGAAGGGGCAAAGAGACGGTTTCCGATAGACCCTCGGCTAAAGCAATACAAGGTATTTAGAAAACGAAATCCAAGATAGCAAAAGAGAGTATGAAAGAAGTACTAATAGTCAGTAACAACAGTACAAGATATGTAATGATAGCAAATGTACGGAAGGCAAGTAACAACAGTACAAGATATGTGGTAATAGTAAACGAAGGATAAAAGAGATACCATACTAACACTAATACCATTGAACTAAGAAGACACATGGAATATCTAACACAAATACCACTGAACTAAGAAGACACAGGGAAACGCTTGACTACCTACTAACCCTCTACCCTAATTCTCAACCTCCATACCCTCCTATCAAGGGTCATGATAGGAGATTAAGATCATAGAAAGACGTAAAAATTCTACTAACCCACTTATGGAAAAGGAGTGCAAAAGTATTTGAAGCGAAAGATTGACTCCACAGTTGGACAATCAGATCAAGGATCGGTTTTCCGTTCTGAGGTACATGAACAAAATGATCAGCAAGCACATAGTAGTAGCATGTCGGTCCTTCAGCCCGTTCCTCTGCAGCCGTAATAGCATCCTCGCTGCTGAGTATTATCTCTGTTTCAATGTTAAACCAAACAATAAGTTCTTCCTTTTGATTGATCACCAAGAATCGTCAAAATTCTGAATTTCCTCTAGCAAAAGATATCTTATACTTCTGGACATTTTTAGCTTGAAAAATAGGTTAATGAGATTCTTCAGAATGAAATTGGTATTACATTTTTTTATAGGTAAAGATTTCTGACATATGATAAAGAAACAACACAGATAGTCATATCTATTGACACATATTTTGTTGTACTGATACACCTTCATGCAATTTGATTTAATCCTTAAAAAGAGAAGAACACAAGGAAATGAAGAGAGTATA